TATATATATATAATGTTTGATTTAGGAATCCATAAATAAGTACCAATTACGTTTTATCCTCGTCTTTTTCCAGGGTTGTCACTTGTTTCTAACGATAACGACGTGCCAATTTATGGCTGCATATTGGATTGTGGGGAAGTCCCGGTAATTTAACGTAAATAAAACAAACTTTCAACATAATTTTAAGGACACCATTGCATCCATTACATGATGTCTCATGTATTCTCCTGGTTGGTTGCTTGGCTGGTGGATGACATTTCGGCTCTTTACAGAGAACGCTTGTGACCCGACGGGCCGTGCGTTAAGTCGCACCGTGCAGAATACAAAGCACTTTAAACAGTGGTATGCATGGTTAGCTGTTTGTTGTCTGCGTTTGCGTATAATTTCATTAATGAGGTGTTTATCAATTTTTGTTCGACCCCGGTTGCGGAAGAAAACATCACTCCAAACAACAATTTCCACCAACTGCATAAAATGTTCGGATTGTTGACTAACGGCGTGTGACTTAATTTGAGGATAGCCTTCAATGCTTTTATATTTGGCTAGAATCAAACGGTTTTTTTTGCTGTTGATAATTTCGGGAGACACTGGGAAAATGCGTGCAGGTATAAACTTTACGTCGCTTACCTCGGTTGCTTTGGCGCTCGGGTTCCACGGGAGCCACTAGATGTCATTCGGAAACAATTAGTTTCATACGAAAGCTAAAAGTCCTGTTTTTTTCACTGTGTTCATGAAAAAAATAAATGAACCGGCGTTTTCATTTGGGGAACTTAAGCAGTAGGCTAATTATTTCAGATTGACGCAGGAATAGGAGTGACGCAGGAGTGAAGATCTTACCTTTTGTGTTTTTCTACCACGTGTACCTTTCAATTTATTGGCCCATATATTGAGTCAGGGTGCACTCCTTTTAAGATTGAGATATCTACGGTGTCCTACAGCTTTTAGTGATTCCCCAATTCATAATTTACCAGTGACAATTGCCCGCTCAGAGCAATTCATATTTGATAATTCAAGCCAATCAAAATGATTCAAGAGTAGAGCAAATTTTTAATCACAGCAAAATTGTTTTTATTCCCAGCAGTCTGCTTTTTTTTTTTTTTTCCTGTGTGATCACTGCACGCCAACTCCAGATCAATCTACAGCAGATCACAGTTCCTTTGATACTCTGATATCCAATGGGACCATGTGGCTGTTAAGTGCTCATCTGTTTCCAGTGACTGTTAATGAAAGTAAAGTGAGTGTAAATCGTATCTATACAGACACGTTGTGTGATGTTTTTGGGTGGGGTGCGTAGAGAGTTTTTGCTTGGTGTAATGGGCTAAGCTTTGTACTCTGCACACAGCAAACGTCGGGCTCTTTTTTTAGTCTCAACTCCCACAGCCAACTGTGTCTCTATAGATGGAGAGGCCCAGCTATTTTACTATCCAAGAGATCAGGCACTTTTCACTTTTAATTTCATCCATGGTAGCTTTTTTTTGCCATTCACACTACATTCTGTGTCGACATGCAGTGTCTTGGAGCAGTTGACTGTTTGGTGTATGACCTACTAGCGTCCTTGTGACGCAGAACACAATAAGCAATATAGAAAACGAATGGATGAAAAATCTATGTAAATCTGTTTTCATTAGAGGAAGCTTTAAAATTTTGTGCCTTGTCAACTTTTATTTTGAACATGTGATGCTTGTCTGACCTTGGAATTTTAGCTCCCCCGACTGCCACTAAAGCAGCAAACATTCCGCTGAATTAGCGCGTGCATGTGCGCATTCTTTTTGTCCTGTGTGTTATTTCAGGGGTAAAGGGTCAGACTGTGATATCATTGATTTAATTCTGTTTTGGGAGGTTTTACGCTAGTGGATCTAATGGCAATAATAAAGAAAGAATCAAAATTCATAAGTCGAAATGTCTAGAGGCTCAAAATTGTAACTTGCTTCAAGATAATTGTTTATTGACTTAGATAACTGCCCCCCCCAAAAGAAAAACAAAAAAAAATGACAAAATATGGCAATTGTTCCAGTCGTTTTGACCAATGGAGATTAGCAATGGAAACAAATATGACAAAACAACCAAACCATTTGATCTTCTTGTTTGATTTGTAAGCTCTTGGAAAGTCGTCATGTCTCTTGAATATCTGTTGAGCAGGTCAGCAATATGCTGATCAAACCAAATGTTGGCTTTTGCTCGGTCTCTCCTTTAGTTTTTCTTAGTCTGCCTCTTTGACTATTCAAGAAGGAGGAACATTTGAAATGTGAGGGCTCAAGGCCAGTTTAATGACTTTGTGTGTAGGTGGAGTAGTGGATAAAGGAAACTCGAGGCTGGCTCTATAGCTTTCTGTATGCATGCTACATGTGTGCATCTATGGAAAAAAAAAATCCATCCACAAGGCCCATGGCTATGTCGATTAAACCTTATTGTTATGTGTACTGCCCTTATGCATGAACCTCCCAAGAAAAAAAAAGGAAACACCCAACCTCCACATTCTCCCTCACCACAGTCTAACACACACACACACACACACACACACACACACACACACACACACACACACACACACACACACACACGCCTCCTCCTAATCCATTTTGTAGTCGGGAGGGAGAAACAAAAGCGGGGTCTGCTTTACATGGTTTATGTAAAAAGAGCGCTCCCTCTCCTCCTCTGCAGTTCATTAAGAGATTACGAATAAGCCCAAAGGCCCTTTGTGACCGGGCAGTGGCGGGGGCACCTCAGTGGGTTCCTTTGTTGTTTTGGGGGTCGGACTTCTGCTTAGAGATGCAGGTCCATCGTGAATGAGTGAAAAGAGCCTCGGTTCTGAAGGTTGTAATGATGACCCCCCTCCTTCATTGACCCTGCTTTTCAAAAAAATCCTCAAGTTTCAAAATGTATCCCCCTGCCCCTCTCTCTCGGAAATCGATAGGAAGAAGGATCTGCCATTTTAATGTAGCAAAACTGGCTCGCTGTAATTGTGAATATTTGCTGAGGGATGAAACTAAAAGGTCAGTTAATTAAACCATGTGGTGTTTGACGGAGTGTTCAGATTGCCGAGGCTATGTGGCTGTTTTATGATGACCGTTCCAGATCATCATTAGAATCATGAATTGAAACAAAAGAAAAAACATTAAAAAAACCCAAAGTGAAATGAAACAGAGCAGAACAAGAAAGCGTCGGGGCCCCCTCGGGAAGAGGAGGGTAATTATGTCTCGGGCTGCTCAGATCCCGTAGCCCCGGCTTACTGGATGAAAGGTGCAGGGAGTGCAGACAGAGCCAGAGAGGACAAGAGGGGATAGGGTGACAGTCAGCATAAAGACCTCTGTCCCTTCGGCCCACAGAGGGCGAAAGCCACAGCGCTGCAAATAATTGAGAGTGGATTAACCTTCACTATACCTTGCCTTGCCTTCTTTGTCCATCGCCTTAATGAAACCTTGCGTTGCGGCTGGGATTCAAACACTTGCTCTTGATCAGCGGGTAGATATTCACCATCCCCTCCTTCTGCTTTGTTTTCACATGAATTTGAGGCTTTAGGGAATAGACTTGAAGGGATATTCACAAAGGGATACACCAGGGTGGCCATTGTTTTTTGGAACACAATAATCTATTGGTTGAAATTCATGAGCTGATAAGATAACCTCTCCACTTTTCACACACCAACCTCCAAAAAAAAAAACTCGTCACACATGCGCACCAAACTTAAAGGAGCAAAGGTAGCTAGACAAACAGATGGCACCTAAACAAATGCTCTTTCATGTCTCCGGTGTCACTCAAATGTTAACCCGCGCTCGCAGGGCTTGTCACGCGGAATTTCACCCCCGTTTGGCACACGCATCTCGAGAGAAAGGCTTATAATTAAGTGGGCCAAACTGCTGGAAGATCAATTGTAAGCGGCTCTGGCTTGAAAGTATGTTTCCAACAAGACTTGTAAGTAATTTTGTCAACACATTGGCAAACCCTCTAAGTACTATTCAACCTTACACCTATAAATGATCTCGATTTCCCATCAAATGTACACGCCTGCGTTGAGAGAAACAAGCACAGCTTGGCTTCTCTGTTGACTTTTGGAAGAGAGGATGGTAGGCAGATGGAGGGATTAAAGACACAAGAGTATGTTTTATTGTGCTCGACAGCATTTTCAGCAACTCCAACATTTTGATCCGTGTGGCTTGGGGTTGGAATCTCTTGCCACCTCATGATTCAGAGGGCTGCCCAGTTATCGATGCAGAGAACTACAATGTAATCTGAGATATACATACGTATATACTGTATAAAGACAGAAGGCACGCTGAGATCCAAACGCAATGGGTTCCCAGAGGCTGTACATAAGCTGAATTGTTCGTAAATCGAGACACGTTAAATGTCAATGTATAATTGCCATTTGAGGCCATGAAAAAAAACAAAAAAACTATCATTTGGTGCCAAAGGAAAGGAGTCGCAGGAGGCGTGTTGCACGATACTTGACTTATTTTTACTTGCCAAAAACAGGAAGTCAAACGAAAGTCCGCCACAAAACAACACTCCATCCCGAACGCAGCCCTCAGCTATTTGTTCAATGGGGGCAATATGTCAACAAGCTCCACAGTACGTAGTGCGTACCATCCCGTAACTTAGCTTGAGAGTGAAGTCAATGTGCATACATAGACAAAAGGCGGAGACGGCATTGACTGAGATTTCTTAAAAGTGCTAAGTTCA